GCTTTTACTTGATCCCATCTTCACGAAATCGATTTAAAGACAATTGGCTAAAGCGGAAACAGTTTTTTTTGTTTCTTTTATTAGGGTTTGGTATGTGTCTAAGAAAATTAATAGAAATGATGAGGATACAAAAGAAAAAGAGTGTTTATATAGAAGATGAGAAAGATAAACTGCGACCCCACACACTTCTCTTTCACTACCAACTTGTATATTTTGTGTTATTGCAATTTATTATCAATGAATTTATATGGTTTATAACTACTGTACATGGTCACAATTTCACAAAACCCCCAAAACATGTATGCCCTATTTGTCCCCGTTGTTGGTATGTATCAAAAGCACACATGCATGCCACGTGGCTGTAAAACTTGTTTTAAAGCAATTATTTTTGCGGAATTTTCAAACAAGCGAAAATGGATGGTCTCCGTCGACATATATATAATAATTCTTCTAGATTAGTATGGTGGTAGAATATTGCTTCTGGATGTTATGATGGTAATTTGAATAATCAGCCATAGTTTTAAGCGATCAAATGAGATCTAATTTACAAACGCCCACAGCAAAATTTTGGTTTTATTATCTTTCAGAAAATTGTCGCTAACTTGTTTACATCTTCACATGGATTGAAAATTTTAAATTAATCATAACTATTAACATAAAAAAACTAAATAAATAAAGTGGTGCATCTGATTATTTTTACGTGGTTCAATCACGATAGTTTCTAGAGTTCTCACATCACACACAAAAGAAAATAGTGAAATCACTAAAAGGTGTTGGCCTCGATAGATCATATCCTTCTCAAAGGATATACATGAACATCCAAATATCAGTGAGTGGAAGATAATGTATTCATTGGTTATAACAACAGTCAAATTTTGTGGACGATATGAATAGCAGGGTTTGTCATTTTTCTAATTTTTTTTTATTTTTATAAACGTATGGGATCCACGTCAGTGTACCAATCTACTAGACCTTCCACGCACAAATTGCCATTGTGAGGTGTGGTGTGATGTAAGAATATTTGTAAGAAAACATGCTCTTGTCTTTTACTTGCTAAATTATAAATTTATACTCTCATCAAAAACAGTTATTTGCGTTCGAGAATAATAATCGTCTGCATTAAACTACCAAAACAATTGGAAAATTATGATTTATCTAATTAACTAGTATCAAAAATATATATTAGTCCTAAAAGTAGATTTATCTTCAATAGGATATGCACGTGCATATTTGACTATATATTCTAAATAAAATTTTGTTAGGTTCCAGAAGTATAAGTTAGGCATTTCAGTTTTGGCTAACTTGCTGTTCAAATAAACTATCCAACGTTAGTGAATTATTACATCAAAAGTTTTTCTTTACATATGTATTTGATAAGTTAGGCATTTCAGTTTTGGCTACTTGCTGTTCAAATAAACTATCCAACGTTAGTGAATTATTACATCAAAAGTTTTCCTTTACATATGTATTTGACTCTTATAAAGTGTACATGACGTGGCATACATGCATGTTATTCGTCTAGTGAAAATGTACCATTATGCACTAATCAAAGAATGCGTTAGGTGATGATTACTATAATAATTACGAACTAATTGGTCTTCGGTTGGCGCACGAATCATGATAATTATAACAAAATGATACCAGGCCCAGGGACGGTACTTTCGATATAATAATCAGATAGAGAGAGAGCTTATGTTGTTAACAACATGCATGATGCATGAAGAATCTTAAATATATTGATACTACCTTTTAAAATATATACAATGCAGCATGGTAAATTTCACATGTTTAAGCACTGCCGATCCTGAGTCAAATATTACATTGACATATAGATCACTAAATTTATCAAAAATGATCTCAAATTTGTAAAACAATAATTTATTAAAACCTTTACTAAATTATTCAGGGTCCCTAAACTTTCAGGGTCAGCCATTTTTCTAATTCTAAAACTATGCTTTGAATCTACTTGGTATGAGTTATGTATGAGTACAAACTACAAAACCGTCTATAGCAACAAGCCAACAAGAGTTACACTTTTACTTCTCGTAAAATAATCTATCTATCCTTCCATCGATTAGAAAAAAACTCAGGTCAAATAATTTTGCATAGACAGTATAATAGTATTGATCATAGTTTTTTAATCTCCATTCTGAAAGAGTTATATATACTAGAACCGCAAGCAAATAAACAAATTGCTATACCCCACACAATTAAATATAGAGATTATGGGTTTTGTGGCATACAAATGGAGTGTGGTCATCTTGGATAAAACAGAATTTTAATTTTAGATATTTTATGTTTTTCAGTATATTCTACTGTCCATAATTTAATCCAATAGTGTCTTCAGTAACCCATATTGGATAGCTCATAGGCCCATGGGCTTAGTCCAATAGTTATCTATCTTAACATTTTATTTTTCTCTTCAAGAAAATAATAAAATTTATCGGTTCGTTACAGTGTTTGATATTTCAGTGAGGTTTCGACTTGCGAAAGATGGCGTCTACAGTCTCTCTATCCAGTTTCTCGCCATCGTCGTCGTTACATCTCCGTTCTTCTTTCAACGGCGAGTTCGTTTCGTCGTCGAGGAGCTTCATCGGAGCAGCTCCGTTCACTTCCTCTTCTCTATCGCTACTCTCCGGTTTGTCCTTTACTCTCTTCGTTTCGTTATAGCTTTCTTCGAGAAAATTGGAGATAGAAAGAAACAGTTTAGGTTATAGAAGAATATTAAACTTCAAATTCGAATGTTGATTATTGAAGAGATTATCATATCTAGGTCAGAAGAGCTCATATCCTCCGAGAAAACTCCACGTTTCTGCCAAGAAAGTATCTGGATTAGAGGAAGCAATTAGAATCAGAAGGTAATGCAGTTTCTTGATTGGTTGCTAAACATTCATTAGAATTCAAGATTAGTTGAATGAAATTAATGAAGGTTGAAGTTAAATTTCGTTTTGTAGGATGAGAGAGGTTGAAAAAGCTTCAAAAGTCAGGAGAAACGCACCATTACGACGTGGAAGAGTATCACCTCGTCTTCTTGTCCCTGACCACATACCGAGGCCTCCTTATGTTGAGTCTGGCGAATTGCCTGATATATCACCTGAGTTTCAGATTCCTGGTCCTGATGGTATTGGGAAGATGAGAGCTGCTTGTGAGCTCGCTGCTCGGGTTTTGAACTTTGCTGGAACTTTGGTTAAAGTAAGATTTGTTTTTGTTAGGTTCTTCTTGTGGATATCTCTTGCTTGTGTGTGTGTATATGTCCTGACTCCTGAGTTGATGTTGTGGTTGTGTAGCCTTCTGTGACGACTAATGAAATAGACAAAGCGGTGCATGATATGATTGTTGAAGCTGGTGCTTATCCTTCACCTCTTGGGTATGGTGGATTCCCTAAAAGTGTGTGTACATCAGTTAACGAGTGTATGTGTCACGGGATACCAGATTCTCGGCAGCTACAGGTTTGGAATTGTGCTTTTAAGTTCCAAGAGTTTTTTTTTTTTTGAATGAGTTCATATCTCTACTTACCACTAACTGTTGTTTCTTATTGTAGAGTGGGGATATAATAAACATCGATGTCACTGTTTACTTGGATGTAAGTCTTTTTGGCCTCTTTATTCAGTAGCCAATTTTACTTCCACTATGTTTGATCTCACTAAAACTTGAAACATCGGATCATGTTAACACCTATTTGGGGATTTGAAACTGCAACAGGGCTACCATGGAGATACATCAAGAACTTTCTTCTGTGGGGAGGTAGATGAAGGTTTTAAACGACTTGTAAAGGTAGTTTTATTCATTGTGTTGTCTCTGCATTGTTCATAATAAATGGATTATCTTTAGTATGCTAATTGTTGTTGGTTTAATGTTCTGGAAGGTTACGGAGGAATGCTTGGAGAGAGGGATAGCTGTTTGTAAAGATGGAGCAAGCTTCAAGAAAATCGGCAAGAGAATAAGGTAGTAACCAAAACCATTCTTGATGAAATGAATATAACTGTGGAGAAAGGTATTACTTGAGAAATATTAAAGCTAAGACCAAACAATTTCGGTGGTTTACCATTTTAATCAGCGAGCATGCTGAAAAGTACGGATACAACGTGGTGGAGCGCTTTGTTGGGCATGGTGTTGGACCAGTGTTCCACTCTGAACCCCTGATTTATCATTACCGTAAGTTATATATCTTCCTAAGTAGTACGCTGTAGCTATGTTCTCTGTAATGTAAGAATGAAAAACAATACTTGGATAAGTAAGTGCCAAGCATTTCGTCTTAGGTGGCTCATTTTATATCCCACTTTGCAGGAAATGATGGGCCTGGGCAAATGGTTGAAGGGCAGACTTTCACAATTGGTAAGTCAGTTTTGTTCCTCTTCCATGTCATGGTTTTCATTTTTTTGGCTTGTAATGATTACTGTATGATAATAACACAACAACTTGATTGGCTACAATTTGGCGTTGCAGAACCGATTCTGACGATTGGAACCACGGAATGTGTAACATGGCCAGACAACTGGACTACTCTAACAGCTGATGGTGGGGTAGCCGCACAGTGTGAGCATACAATTCTGATTACTAGAACTGGTTCTGAGATTCTTACCAAATGCTGAAACTATTCACTTTTGTCATTTTCTTTACGTTTCCCTCTTTGTCAAATACTGATTTCTTCAGATTCTTTTGGACCATGAAATCAAATAGGATATACCTCCATATGGTTTAATGATAAGTAACTCCCATGTGCCAGTTTTGTTTAATTTAGTTTTGTGGGTGGTATCTAATTTTCTAAGATCGCATTTTCCACAGGTTATAGATTTACTGAATCTTTTTGTTTGACGCCAGATTACTATATATTATATAGATTGCAGAATCTCATTTCAATTGCGTAAGAATAATATCTGTTTCAGATCAAGATTGAGTTTATTGAGACTTTAAAATGTTACACATGTTTGGCACAGGGCTTTCTTTATCAAACTAGACTATTTCTCAATTAATATAAAGTATAAACAAGTCGAGTTTCTTCTTATTTCAATCATTTTATTTGTATTTTAGTGTTTATTTATTTTAGTTGAAAGTGACAGCCACTTTCCCAAATCTACGCACATGCCTCATCATCATCATTTAATACCACGATCTAATGCACTGTACTAGAGATGAAAGCATCTATTAAAAAAAGAACAAGCTCGGCTCTATCTCTTCACCACTTCAACTTAAAACACAAAACAAGCTTTCCTCTTTTGTATCAGACAGGCAAGTCTATGACCATGGCTTCCTCAGCTGCTGCTGCATCGATCTCTCTTGTAACTCTAAGGAACCTCTCTCGGAATCATCAAACCCCTCTTTTGGGTTCCTTCCACAACCTAAGGATCTCATCTAACGGTCCAGCTTTCTCCACACGATCAAAATCCACCACCTCCTCCTCCACTCCAGGTTTCTTCAAAACCATGTGCAGCAACAGCAGCAGCGATAACTCCAGACCAAGTAAGTAAACAAAAGAACAGTTTTGAGAAAGAAAAAAAAAACAGGATCTTGACTTTGACTTAGCTTTATGTTCACACTCACAGCTAAGATCCAAGAACTCAACGTGTACGAGTTCAACGAAGGAGACCGAAACAGCCCAGCTGTTCTAAAACTAGGCAAAACCCCACAACATCTTTGCATCGGCGACCTCGTCCCTTTCACGAACAAACTCTACACCGGAGACCTCAAGAAACGCGTCGGGATCACCGCAGGGCTCTGCGTTTTGATCCAGCACGTTCCTGAGAAGAAGGGCGATCGTTTTGAAGCTTCTTACAGCTTCTACTTCGGAGACTACGGTCACATTTCCGTTCAGGGACCTTACCTGACTTACGAGGACACGTTTCTCGCCATCACTGGTGGCTCCGGCGTCTTTGAAGGAGCTTACGGACAGGTCAAGCTTCGTCAGCTTGTGTATCCGACCAAGCTGTTCTACACTTTTTACTTGAAAGGTGTTGCCGGTGATTTGCCTGTGGAGCTTACCGGAAAACATGTTGAGCCGTCGAAAGATGTGAAGCCGGCGGTGGAGGCTCAGGCGGCTCAGCCCGGCGCCACTATCCTTAACTTTACTGAATAAACAATCATTGTGTCGTTGAGCTTTCTCTGTTTGTTTTCTGGTGGATTTTAATGGGTCTATTCAGTGGGTGGGCCTAAATAATGGGCTTTTAAATAAGAGGTCGCTTTTGGTAAATCTATTTTTCTTCTAAACAATTACAATGTCACAACATTCATGTCACAACATTTATATACAATTATCTTAGAAAGTTGGATTGAAGCATTGGGATATTCGATAATACTATCCAACACGTTATGTTTTTTACTTGGCTAGAAATAAGAATACAACTAATTAGCATTACCGGTCAGAACTCAAAGGTATTGACCTATACTAATTACATATTTAATATGTATACAGATAGAACAAATTCAACAAAGTCAAGATTCTGTGACATTATTTCCAGGTCCTATAGAAAATGTGAACTCTATTGGTAAATGAATTTTTTATATTTTGAACAGATCAAAAGAAAGACATTCATACATATGAGGTTATCTTCTCCCATGTATTGGTTAAGAAACTTGACTTTTCTGTTTAAAACAGTAATTTATTAGTCATTACAAGTTTCTTAATTTTCTTGAAGTATGACAATTTCTAAAATTACAATATATAGAGTAGTCAACTTTTTTTTTTAATATCGATATCATGCAACTTTTATTTCCGGCCTTCTCTAAATATTTAGTACTTTATTATTAATTTCAAAATTTATGATAGCAACAAGAAACAACATTTATGTCTATAATGTGAATTACTATAACAATGAAACTTTACAAAGCAACGGTTGTACAAAATTATGATAAACTAATTTTGATTTGATTTGTTGCATGGATATATAATCCACCATGTTTTTGTTCGCATTTTTTATCAGTCACCCATTTTGTAAGGTTTTACATAAGAATTAATCAAATTGTAATCTAATCTTCAGCTTTTGTTTGTTCTAATCACAGTGGCTCAAATTGTTTTAAAAGGATCACATTTATTCACAATTATTGTTTATGCATCTACCACTTCTCTAAAATTCTATAGTACTTTGTGATTAAGCGGGTCAAATACATTAATCTTCCATAATTTTATTTTTAGTTTATACAAATTCAATTAGTAACAAAAGCTAAAATCCTTTTGATTATTAGACCAATGACAAGCTAGTATGATGTTGTCATGTGTATATTTATGTACTTATCTTATTACAAAACCATACTAGTTGTAACATTTTAATTTTCATTTATAACGGTCATTGAAATAATGGCTTGCATTCATTGTAAACCTTGTCAGGAATATTTAAGCAAGACAATATAGACTCACACGAAGTAATCAAACTAATTAAATCTTACTCTAACGCAAAGTTAATGTACCATTACGAAGTTCATAACTCACCACCCACATATTATAGGGCATAGATTCTCGACCCATATTGACTATACATAAAACAAATTTGTATCCATCTCATTGTCGTTTAATAAGCCTTCATCTCTTATTGTGTGCAATCTTTACAAAATTAATGAGATTACATAACCAAAAACCCGGAATCACATTACCGAATATTCACCACTCCCTACCTACTACTAGCATAACAAGACATCTAATCAAATTGGTTACGTTTCTCTTACAAACGTAAATTTATTTAAACACATCAAGGTGTATAAAATATAAAATTGCGAAACACAAGATTCCTCTTGTAACGCGACGGGCCGACTTTTTGTTTTTTTATTCTCTCAAAATAGTGATCCTTGTGAGTCGTTATAGCGCCATATATATACATGTATTCAGATCTGCAAGTATTGATCATTCTCTCTAAACAAAACTAAATCTCATTTAAAAGGTGGATGATTATTTTCTTCCTTTAGCACCACCAATGATTAAGAAGCTAAGCAATATGGATTACAAGCAGGATCGGGAGAGATGTGGACAATACATTAAAGCTCTTGAAGAAGAACGCCGCAAGATTCATGTGTTCCAACGTGAACTTCCTCTTTGCTTAGACCTTGTAACACAAGGTACATGTAAATTACATACTTATACTGTTATACACTGAAAATAATTCTCATATATATATATATGTATTACAAAAAAAAATGCAAGATTTGCTATCATTTTTTTCTTTTTCTTGTTAAAATGAAAATTACAATATATGAGAAATTCTTGCATCTATGAAAAAACCTAAATTTTACTTTTATTTTATTGTTAAGCAATCGAGGCATGCAAGAGGGAGTTACCGGAAACAGCCACAAAAAATATGTACGGGCAATCAGAGTGCTCGGAACAGACGACCAGAGAATTTAGGCCTGTCTTGGAGCAATTTCTAACCATTAAAGAATCCTTGACCTCCAATGAAGAAGAAGAATTTGACGATGAGCATGGAAATCACGATACTGACAATGATTCTGAGGATAAAAACATGAAATCTGATTGGCTTAAGTCTGTTCAGCTCTGGAACCAACCCGACCCTCTTCTCCCAAAAGAGGTGATCATTACATTAAAGAAACCCATACGATAAACTCAGGCTAGTTTTACTACAAGGCTCTAAATATTTACATATTGTGTTTCAGGAAGGATCACAAGAGAAGATGGTGGACACGGTGATGAAGGAAAATGAAAGTATGAAGAGAGAATTCATGGCTAATGGTGGTGAAAGAAGGAAGAGAGAGGCGGAGAAAGATGGAGGAAGAAAGCAGAGAAGGTGCTGGTCGTCGCAGTTGCATAGACGCTTCTTGAACGCTCTTCAGCACTTAGGTGGACCTCATGGTGCGTTTGATATTTATATACGAGTTAATTAACTTTTCTAATGATTTAGATCAATAGTTTGGTGTTAGGGTTCACGAAAAGTTTTGAGATGTTTATTTTGGTTCCATTTTGCAGTAGCTACGCCAAAGCAAATTAGGGAGTTAATGAAGGTTGATGGATTAACTAATGATGAAGTCAAAAGCCATTTACAGGTAAATACTCTTAAACACTTACAGTTTTTCATTCTATAATTTGATTTATACGTTTCTTCTAGATTTATTTATTTTTTGAGTGCAAAAAAAAAAATCTAGGAACGTATAAAACCTATTCTACAAAAAAAAATTGATGATAATTGTTTTTGTGGGATATAATATAATAGAAATATAGACTGCATACAAGAAGGCCAAGCCAAACAGTCGCTAACAACGGAAACACTCAAACGCAACATCTCGTAGTCGTCAAGGGCTTATGGCTTCCACAATCTGACTACTCTACTGGAAGAATCACCGGAGGAGCCACAGCTAGTGGCACTACCGCCACCACTGGGATATATGGAGCAATGGCTGCACCACCACTGCCACGGTGGCCGAGCCATTCCAGTTTTAGACCGTCCATTATTGTGGAAGAAAAAGGATCGGGAAGCCATAGCGAAGAGATGGTGGTCCGATGTAGCTCGCCAGCGATGTCTTCTTCTACCCGCAACCATTACGTCAAGAATATTTAGTTTTTTCTCTCTTTTTTCTTTCTCTCCCTAATGTTTTGGTTAGTTTTATTATATAATATAATACTATTTTTGTTCTTTTTCAAATTAGAATTTGACACCGTGAGGAAAAGAGTGTATAGAGGTTTGCACCGAATAGTTCCATTTTTATTTTGCAGTTGATGTGCATCTTATTCGTTTCTTTTTCCAATTTTGCTGACTTTTTTTTTTTTTTTTTTTAAAGTATGCACATGCATGATAAATATATGGAAACGGAATTGCGGGGATTTTTTGTTGTTTATATTATTTTTATTACAATTTTAGTCATATTGCCTTCAATTTAGACCAGAGTTTCAGTATGATGAAACGCAAAAGTAGTAAATGAAAAAAGGTTTTGGACTTGAAATTTCTTGGATCTTAGAAAAGAAAGAAGACCTTACGTTTTAGAATGAAAACTGATATTTATTTCACAAAAATATGAAAACTGATATTTATTTCACAAAAATATGAAAACTGATATAGATTCCAATAATTCAAATTGTTATTTTCAAATATTATTGTGGCTGCTGATTTTCTTTTTTTGTTAACGCAAAATTTACGGCACTGAGTAAATTATATAGATGATCCAGAGAGTACATGCTGGTATTAATAATTTGTATAAAATATATGTATAAAGCTAGTATGAACATGGCGGCAGAGTCGAGAGCAAAGGGATCTTCTTAACAGGATATACTAAGTATTTGTCGACCATATTATAAAAAGATGCACACAATCACATGACAACAAAAATTATTTGATTATGATAACAATAAGACCCGGAGGGGGACCTTATTGAATCGGCTGCATCTAGGGGCGAATATGCTCGGACCCGAAATGTATAACTTACTATAACTATAATTTTAAACTATTTCAACATTTTCATTTTTTAAAAAAAAATTGATTCTCACGTTGTTGAATATTATTACAAATATGCACGATAGCTACAATGTCCTTGTCGTAGGGTATATTCTATGCTTCTGGTTTATAGAAGACTTTTATTCATTGAATAGATATGGTTAGGCCACTTAATATATTTGCCTATTTGGACAGTATCCTCAGAATCTTGAATTAATCTAAAGATTCTTTTAATCAATTGTTTATCAGCCGTACCGGTACCATGTCGCCTAGAAAATGTATCTATCAGATTATTAGTCTGAAAAATATAAAAAAGTGTAACAAGATTTTTTCTTAACAATATAGCATAAATTTTAATAAAAATTTACTAAAATCTATTATTCTCTTTCTATGCTCTATGTTTTTTTACTTATATGATTTGTTTGAATTTACATGTAATATATATTTCCATTTTGAGAGCACGTATTTTTTTTTAATTCATGCAGAATGTCAATAAGATGGTTTCGTTTTCAAGATCGGATCAACCTGGCTAGAAATTCCATGTGCAGAATAAACAAACAAATTAGATAAGAACTTTATTATATATATATATATATATACACTACATTGACGACAGATCCAAATGACCAGGAATTGGATTATGGTTTGATTAGGTATCAGTTTAGAAACAATAATGAAAGATGGCTAAGCTTTTCGCATGAGTTAATGCGACCTTTCCGCAAGTTAAAGGACAAAATGGCTCTTAATAGCCTTTTTTTCTGTAACAGCTCTTGATACTTATTTAAAGAACAGTAGTTATCACTGAAACAATGGAAAATACAGATAACTAATTAATCAATCAACAAACTCCAGTGCTTTTATTGGTCTAAATATTATCCAACATTTAAAAAATCATCTACATGGAATATTCGAATTGACCTAATTAAGTCGTTGTATTAACCTGTCGGAAGAGTACAAATTTATACAGAACCTTAACTTTATTATCTTTTGGTATACAATAAGTACGTGCTTATCTTGTCTTAATTCGCAAAATGTTTGACATTGTGAAATTAATTTTGTTTTAATCCTCAGCAAAAAAAGTTGACATCGTGAAACTAATCTTGTTTTAAGCCTCATCAAAATGGTTGACAATTGTGAAATTTATCTTTGAATATGTAATATGGAGCCTTTCGAAGATTGTTCTTCGTGACTAGTATAAACATGGAAAAATTGTTTGAATATATTGAGATAATTAGACAGATATGCATTTTCATCATCACATTTATAAATAAGAGTCATATCTAGATATAATACCTGTGCCAGAGTCTTCAGACAATCTGTATCTGTATATTATTTGAAGGTCATACTCATCACCTTAAGATCATCCAACGAGAATTAACCATGCGTGTGTGGTCCGATGGTAAAGGGATCCAAATTCGAATCCACACTAATACCAAATTTTTTGAATGTGTGGCTATCGGAATTTTTACATTCTCCTGAGAATGGTTTACCATTTTTTTTCATCTAACGAGAATAATTTTTTAACCTTTTATCCAGATATTTCTTGGGTTTGATGGGCTAGTCTGTCTTTGCGCTAAACATATCTTTAGTCTCTAATGTCATGCCCAATTACTCTCAATGATCATTACTCATTAGAGTCTATAGAAAGTTTCACAATATTATCATTTTTTTCCTACTAATTGATCAAAGTATATAACTTAATTAGTCTATATTACACAACTTAATTTGTTCTTCATACCTCAGAAGACCAAACAAAAATAGAGAGTATATAGTTGATGAAATCTTCTACTTGAACAGAAGCTCTTGTTCCCATCTTGTGGGAGTGTAAGGAATGAGTTTGACAATCATTTCACCTTTAGGAAAAGGCAACTCTGTCTCTACTGGAATTCTCTGTAAAATGAAATCGTTTAGCTTCTCATACTTTGCCATTTTTCTGCTTACTTCCTCTCTCTCGTTCTTGAATATTGTTATCCACTTGTCTTCTTTAGACGGCATACTCCTCCTAGCCGCTGCTAATGCACGCCGGAGAACACCAACTGCTTCACCTACTCTCTCTTCTGATTCAAGCACTTCCGCTAAGTGTTTTTGGCTCTTTAGCTCGTGTAATGCTCTCATTGTTGCTACATATTCCTACATAATCATAATATCAATCATCATAATGATGAGTATTTGATGTATAATAAAAATAGAGGTTTGCTACTTCATTTAGGTTCTAAATAAGATCAGAAAAAAAAACTAAGACCAGTATTTAGATATATATATATATACCAATATATACCAACAAGAAGAGTTTCATTAGTTGCTTCTTCTTCACGTTAAGTTTTAAAGCATATGGGACTTACTAGGAAGCGAGACGATAGGTCTTTACATTCACCATTAGCTCTAGATGACAAATGAGCAGAGGCTTCAGAGAGCATTTGTGTAGTACCGAAATGAAGTTTTGACAATAGGCTTGTGCTCTTTCCACTTTCTTCAGCGTTCTTAGTAGTTACAGCCTATTAAAGAAACATGTCTCACTGTTATCATCATGAGTTTCTTTACCTATCTTGAGAGCAATTTTTGCAAACTAAAGTTAAGAGAATCACTGACCTGACCTTCAGCTAAACATAGGAGACTTAAAGAGAAGCAAAGCGAAGGAGTTAGCTCCGGAAGCTTCCCTTGAGGCAAAGAAGGTAGCAATGAAGGAAGAAGCTCATGAGACAAATGATGAAAAACTCCAGATGCTTCTCGGTAAAGTGTTACTGATTTCCTGACATCTATTGTGTAACATGAAGCAAACTTATGAGTGTAGTGCATAAGACAAAAAGAAGATGGTGTTTTAGAGACAAACTAGCTAACCTGTGGATACTAACTCCATGGCTCTCTCACGAAGCTTAACTGCGTAGAAGTAAAGAACCATTCCAAGCTCGAACATTATGTTATCTACTTGGAAGAACTTCACACACTTACGCTGAATCAAGGTCTGTGAGATCAAACCACTACTCCATCTTATCTTAAGACCAGAAACATGTTTAATCTTGTCAGCGTGGTGCACTAAGTTGAAGAGTACGGGAAGGTATTCTCCAAGTTTATGGAGATCCTGAATAATAACAAAACAAAATCAAAAACTTGAGTTACAAGAAATATTAGGTTTAGAACTAAGAGTTTTTTTTATTTTTTAATTTAACCTGCTCACAGGAAGAAGTAAGTCCTCTGCTCATCTCTCTTGCAATAGCATCAGTGACGTTGCTGCTTCGGTTAACAGATTCCTCAACTGCTTTACGCTTGGAGCTTAAGTTTTTGACTTCTTGTAGAGTTGTTGGACCATCAGATGATAACACGTTTTCGAACACAATCTGTTTTTAGACAACAGTATGACAAAAAAAAATTATACAAAGTATGTAACACAAAAACCTTAAAATCAGAATCAAAATCTCCATTAATTAGTGTAAAATATTCAAAAGGATCAAACAGATACATAATACATATTAAATCAGAATGTGGACTTGGACAACATTCTAGAGATATGATCACACAAACAAAATCATCAAAGGAAAATAAAATAAGGTTATACCTCTTTTGTTTTTGGTTCTGGAATTAGGTATTGCATCATCGTCTTCTTCTCTTCCAGACGCTTGATTAGGCAACTAATGCACACCAGAACGAAACAGAATAAAACAAAAAGTCTTTGGAACTTGAGAAGCTATTTATAAATTTGTTTATTAATGCTCAACAAAAAAAACAAAACAAAGAAAAAAGCTATTCCTGAGAGTGTTTGGAATTTTTTTTTCAGGAGATTCAGATTTTTTTTTTGGTTTCCTAATACTAATGTGATTAGTCAAAGTGTGGATAATAAATAGAAGCTACAAAAGGAAATTTCTTAGAATTGAATCAGAGAGCGAAGTGAAATCATCATCAAAACATTAATGTAATAATCGAACTGAAAACTTCAAGACGACCTTTGATCAACATATTTATTTATATGAGATTTTGAACTTTTCGAGGGTTTTTCGATCGCTTTTTGTAGGTCAAATTCTCTTTGTTTTGGTTATTCGTTTACTTTTTCGACAAGGGTTTGACTTTTGATGAATTAGTCTTCGACTTAAATAAAAGGAAAGAAAGAGTTCGACTTAAATAAAAGGAAAGAAAGAGCTTACATAAGCCCATGGGCTTGAAGCAGACAACCCAATAAGTTGGACCATTATTTAGTTGCCGAAGTCTGTACTTACATGTTATCTGACTTTTTTTTTTTAGAAAAAACACATGCACTCTTTCTAACAAACACAATAACATTGTGGAAACAGCATAGTCTAGCGATGAAGATTTAACGGCTTCTATATCTAGGTTTGTAGAGTTCGAATCTCTGCAATTTCTTATATATTACAAGAATTTCAAGTTTTAAGTCTCAGAGAAAATATTCAACATATTGCAAATAAATCTAGTCAGAAATAAATTTTCATAAACAATTCAGATACAATTTAGATAATGGTGCAAGTAAATTTGGTCAGGAATAGATCTTCATAGGATAATTTAGATGATACAGTTAAACAGATAGTATTATCGGTTATTAAATTTTAACATTTTTGTAATGTTATATTATAAAAATAAATAAACACAATAACACATCTTTAAGGAAATATATATTATTTATTGTTCATTATTAAATTAATAAGAACTGTTTTTGTTTTATAATTCTATAAAATTATGCATCTTCACAAATTCCTCTTTCAGACTCCATAACTTAGCGGTAATGTTTGACTAGTGTTGTATATGCAAGTCTTCAGGCTTATTCTGACCTCATTAAACATGGTAAAAAAGATGAGGCATTGGCCAGTAATTTCCAGGCGAGTTCTTAGAAATTTCTCTCTCAGATCAATTTCTTTCTAGAAACTTTCCATGAATATAGAAAACATACGCAACTTTTCAACGTTATTGAGAGTTTATATCCATAAAAATAACAATAAATCTTACACCCTTGACCAAGAAAAAAAAGAACACAGAAAAAATATCATACAAAACTCAGTCATCAAAGATGCACCTGAATAACAAAACTTATACTTCTTAGTATCCCCGAACCTGTCTGGTCCTGACTGAAATCGGACCCTTCAAACCCACTTTACGCATAACCGGATCTCCAACTGAGTGAACCATATGGTCCATGTGTCCTGTATCCGCTCTATTTGTAACATCCATAACATGTTGCTCATCTTTAACATTAGTAATAGTATTAGTCTTAGCAGTATATTGTGTTTCTTCCTCACTATCGTAGATAACAACATCCTTCTCCAACAACTTCACAGGATCTTCTCTAAATGACATCACTGGGACATCCTCAATAATTTCATCTGAATCCGACATAGACCTCTTAGATTCTGACCTCACAACAATCTCACCTTCTTGGATATCATCATCATTACATTCTTGTTCTTGTCCTGATGAATTTCCCCCACCACGAGGAGAAAACTGAGAAAGCTCCACAGCCGCTCGTGCAGCATCTGCTGCTTGAGCTGCTGACTCAAACGCTGCTTGTGCAGCATCAGCCACATCTTTGTACTTCTTTTTTCCTCTCTTAACCGAATCAGATAACTCATAACCTTCTCCATCTTCACTTGTTACCTTATCCTTAGAAACATCTGATGCTCTCTGCACAAATCATAAAGTATATTAGGACATAACTAATTTCTCTCTGTTTTTATTTGTGGTTGGGACATACCTCAGTGGAAGTAGAAGAAGCTTCTTCTAGTTTCAAAACGATGTCGTTCTCAGCAGCTATCTCCTTCAAGACTTTCATTCTAACTTCTCTCGGTGGATGTCTAGTCGATAACTTCTGAATTATCTATAGTAGTAATAAGAAACATTAATACAAGAAACTCAGTAAGTATTATGTTCTGTATTTAAAGATATGTAACGTGCTGAATACGTTATTGGGTTAAATGTAAAAAATCAAAACTGCTTACCTTGGGATTAACTCCACAATTACTGCGTAACTCAATGGACCGGTAACTCAATGGACCGTGCCGCTAGATCTTTCCCAAAACGTGAAATCAAAACGTTACGAATCTCTTGAAGCTCAGGAAACTCTCCGATTCTAGAAGCTGCAAAGAGCAAGCTGGAGACAGCTTCAAGAATCTCATCAGGGCAGTCTCGGTTGTGTTCGAAGAGGTGGACACGGTCTATCAAGAGAGTGAAGTAGCCATGGATGAAGAAGAGTACGTCGAGGGTGTTTTGGTCTTTTATGACTTGGTCGACTCTGTGGTAAGCGTTCTCGTGGTGGCCGAGTTTGAGAAGCTCGGTGACGTCAGAGGTGGCTTGGGAGCATCGAACTTGACGTTGGTTCTTGAGGATAGAGAGCCTCGTGAGAGCTAAGTTGAGGAGAGACTTGAACTTGTTGGTTTTGAAACTCCGACCAAGCAAAGCGTCAAGTTTCTTCCCCATTTTGCTCTCAACAAGTTGAAGAGAGAGAAGAGAGATGAGAAAGAGAATAGGTTTATTGTTATTTTAGGTTTGAATGGAGTTTATAAAAGGAAAGAAGAGAAGACGCGTTACGTAGTACGATGACTTCTTAGCGACGAAGTTTTCCTCTAGGTTGAAAAAACGACATGGAGATAAAGTTGCGTACGAAACAATTAATAATAACAATAAAAACAATAAGGACCGCTGCTGAAAATCGCGTATGAGCATTTACTACTTGATTAATCAAAATGAGTAGCATATCCAAATACAATATTCTATTTAAGTGTTTTTATTTTTGGTAAAAAGGTTACAATATTGATGTTTATTTCTGTTTTGGACTTCAGAGAAAGTACTTAGGACAAAAAAAAACTTGTGGGTAATTACTCTTTATTTGTAGTTTAGTTTGGTTTATTATGTCTACCTTTAGAAACATAACATCTTTTGACTGTTACTCGTTTGATTTTTTTATAGTAGCTTTTTCGCTTTGTTTAGAAACGCGAAATAGAGACGAGAGAACTGTCACTGTTACGGCTCATAGTATGGCAATTTATTTAAGACCGATAGGTTGCTTGAAAGCATTAATAACGCTTTACTGGGGCTCATGCATCTCCCCTAGGATTTACTGGGGCTCATGCATCTCGACCTAAGCAGACAACAAAGAAGGATGACAAAGGCCCATGATTGGTAAATTCAACAAATTGAAAAATAACTCTACAGTTGTCTCAAGCCCACCATAATTTCGTAACCGCTCAAAAAGACAGAAATCAAGAAAATTGCATGCAAACAGAACACAAAGATCCAGGGCTTAACGGATTCATCAAAATCAAGGGAATTGACAATGCAGACATTTTTCAATTTTTTTCTAGAATCCTTTCACGAGTACAAACATATGCAACTGTTTAACAACATAAAACCCCTTATTATATCAATAAAATACATGATAATCGCGCACCCTTGACCCAAAAAGAAACGAACATAAGAAAAAAAAAGATTTGTATAACCTTAACAAAGAAAAAACAAGAAAGGGATCGTACAATGTACAACCATAAATACACCCCCTGGGCCTGGGGGAAAAGAAAAAACAAATACTTATGCTCCAATTTTCACAAGAGGGTGAGCTGGATTAATTTTAGTATGATCATATATATATGAATGTAACTCCGACCAAAAAAATATATCAATGTAACGATATAATATATAAAATGTTAAAGCTATATTTTGTAAATCATTAACATAATTTATTATATTTATATCCTTCTTATTTGTTAAGATAGATGAGTATCTAAGAGCTTGATTACCTATGTTTATTATTACAACAATAACGTGTATGAAGAAAAAATAAGGATCAATGTGTAAGAAGGACCAGAAAAGTTTCCATATATGGAAAAGAACAAAAACGAAACGTTTAAATGAGAAATTTTATTAAAATGCAAAAGTGGAGACAAAGGGGCGAACTGACAAACACATTGGGGTCAAACCTCTTAGGCTTACGACCAAATCATCCATAAAGTAAGCATGCACACAAATTTTAGATAAGTTATGGGGGTTACTAACCCCACTCCCCTCCAAGTGACTCAGTTTTCACTGTTCAGGAACTCTTAATAAAAAAAAAGGACAAAAAGACAAAAACAATAAGAAGTGCCACTGTCGCTCCAACCAAATGAACCATGTGATTCACATCTCCTGATTCTTCCACATTCCTGTCGATATCAATATCCTTCCCCCGCCTATCCTCATTGTCAGGCTGAATGATTTCTCCTGAATCCGACACCACCAGCCTCTCAGATTCTGACCTCACATCATTACCTTCTTGTTCTTGTTCAGACTTTTCGTTTTCAGGACCGTTAGATGGACTTCCCACTGCTTTTCCAACCAAAACAGTAGGCCTCTTCTTTCCTCTCTTAACCAAACCATCATCATCACCGTCCTGTTCTGATTCCTTGTTTTCAGGACCGTCAGATGAATTTGCCAATGCCCTTTCAGCCACATCATTCTGCTTCATGGTTCCTTTCTTAGCCGAACTATCCCCATTACCTTCTTGTCCTGACTTTTTATTTTTACAGCTGTTAGATGAACTTCCCACTTCTTGTCCAGCAACATCAGTAACGTTAGATGAATTTACCAAAGCTTTTTCAGTGACACCAGTCTGCTTCTTCTTTCCTTTCTGCTTCATGTTTCCTCTCTTAGCCAAACCATTATTGTTGCCTTTTTTTCCCTGTCCCGGTTGCTTGTTTTCCGGATCCTTAGATGAATTAGCCACTGCTTTGTCAGGATCAGCCAAATCAACCTGCTTCTTCTTTTCGCTTTTACCTGGATCAGATAACCCACAACCTTTTCTTGTCTCATCTTCTACTGTCTCTTCACTTGCTAGCTCAGCCTTATCTGATGTCCCCTGCATAGATCATAAAAACATGATATTTACTTTTTTTTTTTTTTTCTTCTTATGGTTAATTGCATACTTCCATACCTCTGTGGAAGTAGAAGCTTCTTCTAGTTTCAGAACAATGTTTTCCTTTGCAGCAATCTCTTCCAAAACCTTCATCTTAACTTCTTTCAGTAACCTTTTTTCGGACAACTTCTCAATTAACTATATTTAGTACCAAAATAAAACAAGAGTGCAAAAAAAATTAGTATGTATTTTGTTAAGTACTTTGGGATATATATATATATATATATATATATATGCAACGTATTTAAAAAGTGTGATTTGATTCATAAGTTGCTCTTACTTGAGGATTAATCCTACAATCATTAATCTCAAGGTACTGAGCCGCGAGGTTTTTGCCAAAATGCAAAAGAAAAGTCTTCCGAACGACTTGAAGCACGGTGAAGCATGTGCATGCTAATCTGATTCTAGGAGCTGCAAAGATCAAGCTGGAAACAGCTTCGATATGCTCTTCAGGGATATCTCTTTTGGGTTTGATTTCGTCAATATCTTCTATCAAGAGACCGAGGTAGCCGATGATGATGTTGTAAGCGTCGACTTGGTTTTGTTTTCGTATGACTATGTGGACTTTGTTGTAGGCCTTCTTGTGATCTCCTTCCCTGAGAAGCGTGGTGACTACAGAGGTGTCGTCAGAGATTTTATCTTCAACAGCTGACCTTGAATTTTCGAACCCTGAACGAGCATCGTAAAGAAGTTTCTTGAATTTCTTGGCTGAGAAAGCATGACCAAAAGCGCCAAGTACCTTCATTTGCTCTCAGTGAGTTACAGAGAGATAGAGAATAAAAAGAAGAAGAGCGAATAGAGTTATATAGGAAGGGAGAAGAGATGACGCTTTACGACTTCTTAGCAACTAACGAGGTACTTTCGAGTTTTTAAAAAAAAAACAAACACCCACCCACCCACCCAATGGAAAAACTATTGAATATTACTCTGGTGACTTGCAAGAAAAGTTTTTTCAAAAAAAACAAATCAACAAAGCAGCGAAAGATATATAACTTTTAGGTTAAAAAGAAAAAAGGAAAGGATATTTAACTTATCAAAAATATGTGTATATCGTGAAAGACATGAAATGCTTGAAAGATTCAAGTCCTACACATCCCAAGTTAGTTTTTCTGTATAAATTTCAACCCTTACCTAGTCATAATGTGATCTTTACGAGGACGTTCGTATATGTATTAGTTAGATTTCCAAAACTAGCCAATTATTAAACGTGATAGTGACTCTCGAGAGGACTTGAATCCCAAAATCTTTTGCATACTGTAACATTTTACTTTGGTGAAATCACAACTCACTGGTTCCAACTTTTACGGCATCTCTAAAGTGGTTTGATATAGACCCCCCAAAAAGACGAAGCTTCTGAAATTTTACAAAAGAAGAGGCTGCTCTTAATATTGCAATTATTTATGTGATGATAGAGTATTAACGCTTTTGCCTTTGGAATCAGCTGTTAAAGAATACTCAAGATTTTCCTCGTTTAGTTAAAAGCTTTTTAAACTTCCACAACTCATCTTCACATTACTTTTCTCACCATAAACATTTTAACAATGTTGTCACCATGATAAAGAGATGCTTTTAATTATGTTGGGTATAAAAAGAAAATGAAAAAGCTATTTAAATGTACAAACCAGACTCCTCAGCTGCCACAAGTCTTTTCTTATAGACTTCTAATTCTCCCACTAATCTCAATCATATCAAGGTACCAGAGCCGAGCATGAGTTAATGGGGTATTTTTTAATAATTTTCTTTTTATAGTATTATAAGTATATATATATATATAAGCTATACAAAAGTAATAATCTAAATACAATAAAAATGAAAATATAAAAGAAGGGTTTTTTTATTAGAAATTATTTAATGTAGAAAATATTATTTACGTATTGAATAGAAATAAACATCTTTTGAAAAATTGGGACCTTTCAGTTCCATAAAAAAAAAAACTGAATCTCTAATTATAATTAAGACTTACCTTGTGAAGCATCTTTTTTAGGGAAGGGACCTTTCAGTTCCATATGAAAGTGTAACATATCATTTTCTGTGGATCCAGAGAAAAAAACTTCAACACAATAAAGCTCACACAGACAGACCAACATGCTAGCTATCTAAAGGATGGTTATAAGAAAGTCCAAGAACTACGACGAAACTAAGAGCAAACGCTTCAGTTATATATAAACTGCCAGTCACCAAATATTTAAAAGATTATATATACTACCAAAGTCAAAAGTCTTTCAAACGTTGTTGTCTCCATTTACGTGAACAATCAAGGAACGACCATATGTTAGAAATTAGTACATCAAGCAGAAGAAAACACATAAACACATACAAGTATAGCCCTACCAGCATGTTGTCAGGTTTTATGTTGCTGTGAAGAACACCATAGTTCTTGAGATGTTTAAGAGATATCAATAACTGATTTGCATACAAACTAACATCACTTAGTTTAAGACCAATGATGCGACCAAACATCTTCAAAACCTCATGGAGATTCTTATGAAGAGACTCAAACACCAAGCAAAGGTCACGATAACTACTATATTTGAAAGAAAAAGAACTCGGTGGCGCTTGTTCTCTGCAGGGTTAGAGCCAACTAGCTTCTTCAGAGCCTTATTCGCTTATACTAATCTAGCAAAATACACCTACTACTAACAAAATGTTTTAACTTTCCTAATCCTAATAATTAACAATAGGAAAAAAAACGGCAGCAAATCCAGAAATTATTTTTGCCAAAAATAGAAGGAAAAAACGGCAGGGAAGCCAAAACGTTTTTACAAAACGGCATTGTTTTACTCCGAGAAGTTTGTTTTATTCCGACCGCCACGAGAACAGATTCCCGGAATCAAAACAATCGTCGGAAATTCCAAATAGCCCCTCAACGCCGACGTAATCTCCAACGCCGGGACTGGGACCGAAATCTAAAGAGCCATAATTCGAGACTCCTCGAACCCCCATAACTCGCATTACAAAAGTTGTGAAACAGAGACAAGAGCACTGTCACTGTATGTCTGTATAGTATGGTAATATATTTAGGACCGATAGGTTGCTGGAACGAATTAATAACGCTTTTGACCGTGGGATCGGCCATTTGAAAACACACGATTTCCACTTTAATTATTTGGTGTGTCAACAAATAATACAGTAAAAAGTTCAAAAGATTTTTGGACCTCTACAACTCATCTCCAAGGAACTTCCCCCATCATAAACATTTTTTAATAATGAAAATAAGGAATCCTAATAATAATGGTGTTATCATGAATTAAAAAGCATGAAAAAACATCAACGAACTATTGGTTTAATGGTAAAGGATCGTGTCCGTCATTCGTATTCAAATTGTTGGGAGAAACTACTTATATTGTTTTGCTTGGGTTCTCGGTAAATAATACGAGGTGAAACCATGCTTTTTGTACAGAAACAGGTCTTTCCTCAGACTCGATATATGTACTTCAAAATGTGTTACGTACGAACCCATCTGCCAATCAACGGTTAAAAACTTCTAACAAAACTCACCAGGAAAGAATCTTGAATCTGAGAACAAGGTCATTAATACTCAAAAACTTCTTTCTAGACGGTTTTACTACTTCACCAAGCTATGCTCAGTAATTGCTCATGCATTTCGATCAAAGCAAACAACAAAGAGGATGACAAATGCTCATGATTGGTAAATTCAATAAATCGAGAAATAACTCTACAGTTGTCTCAAGCCCACCATCATTTCGCAACCGTTCAAAAAGACAGAAAAAAAAGTCAACACAAATTGCATGCAACACAGAAGCATGCAAATAGAACACAAAGTTCTAGAGCTTAGAGCACGTCCAGTGGGAGGTTCTTACAGGGGTTCTTAACGGAATATAAAAACCCCTCTCTTAATTTTTAATTAAAAAAATTAAAAACTAGTTTTTAAATGTCTTATTGGAGATGATTTTACCGAATTCATCAAAAATCAATGGAATTGACAAAGTAGACATTTTTAGTCATCTTTTTTCTAGAAATCCTTTCATGAGTAAAAACATATGCAATTGGTTAACAACATAAACCCCTTATCATATCCATAAATAATATGATAATCGCGCACCCTTGACCCAAAACACACTAACATATATACAGAAGAAAAAATATTTGTATGACCTTAACAAAAGCAAAACCAAAAAGGGATAATACTATGCACAACCATAAAATACACCCAGGGGACAAAAAAAAAAGATTTGGATTAATCTTATTGATGTGTGTTGTATCCTTTTTATTTGTTAAGATAGATATGTGTATCTAAAGAGCTATGTATATTACAATAACGTGTATAAAGGAAAATGAATATTGATATGTAAGAAGGATCAAGAGAGTATGCATACATAGAAAATAACCAAAAACGAAACATTTAAATGAGAAAACTTTATTAAAAGGCCAAAGTGGAGACAAAAGGGAGACCTGAGAGACATTGGGGTCAACCCTCAGGGTTATTATGACTAAATCATCCATAAAGTATCAAATTATTAAAGCATGCACACAAATTTTAGATATGTTATGTGGGTCAACTAGCCATGGACATTCCCCTCCAAGTAACTCAGTCTTCACTGTTCAGGAATTCGTTTGTTCCTGACTGATAACGGATACTTAAACCCCGTTATCTCTTCAACCAAATGAACCATGTGGTCCACATCTCCTGATTCTTCGTCACTCCAGTCGATATTAATATTCTTCTTCATCCACTCCTCAATGTCTTCATCAACTTTACTAATTTCTTCTGAATCCGGCACCACCTGCCTCTCAGATTCTGACCTCACATCATTACCTTCTTGTTTTGATTTTTCGTTTTCAGGACCTTTATATGAACTTCCCAATGCTTTTCCAACCACAACAGTATGCTTCTTCTTTCCTCTCTTAGCAAAACCATCATCATTACCTTCTTGTTCAGATTGCGTGTTTTCAGGATCCTTGGATGAATTTCCCGATGCTTTTTTGGGATCAGTGGCATCAATCTGCTTCTTCTTTCTGCTCTTAACCGGATCAGATAAGCCACAACCTTTTCTTGCCTCATCTTCTACTATCTTTTCACTTGCTAGCTTAGCATTGTCTGATGCTCCCTGCATATTTTTTCTCTCTTTTTTATAATGGTTATACTTCCGTACATCTTTGGAAGTAGAAGCTTCTCTTAGTTTTAGAACAATGTTTTCCTTTGCAGCAATCTTTTCCAAAAGCTTCATCCTAACTTTTCTCGGTGAGGGTTTTTTCGACAACTTTTCAATTATCTATATAGTTTGTACCAAAAAAAAAAAACACGAGTGCAATAAAAAAAAAATCAGTATGTATTTAATTAGTTTTGTGTACTTAGGGATATATATGCAACGTATATGAAGATAACGTGGTATTGATTCATAAGTTGCTTACTTGGGGATGAATACCAGAATCATTGCCCATCTCAATGTACTTAGCCGCGAGCTTGTGGCCAAAATACCAAAGCAAACCATTCCGAACGTCTTGAATCGCGGTGAAGCATGAGTGTAATCGGATTCTATGAGCTGCAAAGATCAAGCTGGAAACAGCTTCGAAATGCACGTCAGAGATATCTCTTTTGGGTGTGAAGCTTTCAGTTTCGATGATCAAGAGACATAGGTATCCCCTGATGATGTTGTAAGTGTCGAGATGGTTTTGTCTTTGTATGACTATGTCAACTTCGCGGTAAGCCTTCTTGTGTTGGCCGTTCCTAAGAAGCTTGGTGACATCAGAGGTGGCTCCAGAGATTTCTTTTTGTAACTCTGGCTTTGATAAGTCGAGCTGTATAAGAGCTAGGCGGAGAAGAGCCTTGAATTTTTTGGTTGGGAAATTGAGACCAAGAACAGCGTGACATGTCCCCATTTGATCTCAGTGAGTTGCAGAGAAGAGATAGATAGAGAAGAAAAAAAGAGCGAATAGAGTTATATACAAGAGAGAAGAGAAGACACTTTACGACTAGTTCTTAGCAACATACGAGGTTCTCTAGAGTTTTGGAAAAACCAACCACCCACCCTATGGAAAAACTATTGAATATAGCCGCCGGGCACACCCAAATAAAAAAAAAAATTCATATAGCCTTCTGAATATTACTCTGGTAGTATATTTTACTTGCAAAAAATCTGCAAAGCGCGAAAGATATTTAACGTTTAGGTTAAAAAAAGAAGAAGGATATTTGAATTATCAAAGTTGACAAAAAAAAAAAAGAATTATAAAAAAAATGTGTATATCATGAACTCAATCGTGAAGACATGAAATGCTTGAAAGATTCAAGTCCTACATATCCCAAATTAGTTTTTCTGTATAAATTTCAACCCTTACCTAGGCATAATGTGATCCTTACGAGGACGTTCGTATTTTGTACTCCATTAGATTAGATTTCCAAAACTATGCAATTTTTAAACGATAGCGACTCGAGAATCCCAAAAACTTTTACATACAATCTCTTTGTTTCTCAAAGAGTGTCCTTTTACTGCTTTTTCTTTGTTACGCAAATATTATTGTTTTAAAATTGAAAAATTCCCTAAGATAGAACTAATTTTTTTTGTCACAAATATAGATGTTAAAAATAAAAGCGACCAAAATATATTTGTTTTATAAAAAATAAGTAAATATACATTTATACCTATTGGATTAATTAATCCTATAATTTTTTATTTAGAATTGATAAGTTGAGTTTTGGAGGTAAGATTTTAAATTTTAAAAATTAGAAAAAGCTTAAATTTTCAAAATAAAAAATATTATTTTGGTCATTTTAGTTTTTGAAGTCTATATTTGTGATAAAAACTTTTAAAAAATTATTTGAGAAATTTGCCCTTTAAAATTTCAATGTAATTTATATTTACCTTCAATTTAATATTAATTACAAAATTCATTGATCTTATAAATAAATTTATTTATCTCAAATACTACTTGGTTAAATGGATATAACTAACAAAAACATAAGTACATTTTTATCATTTTTTTAATATAGTGAGAAGTATCTAATTCGTTAAGACACAGAAAGAGTAAATTTACTGAAATGAGAAATCACATCTCACTAGTTCCAATTTTCAACTGTCAAGGTATCTAAAGTTGTTTACTGAAATTTTACAAAAGAAGAGGCTGCTCTTAAATCTTAATCTTGCAATTATTTATTTGATGATAGGTTATTAACGCTTTAGCTTTGGAATCAGCCTTTAGAATAAACAAGATTTTCTTATTACTTAAAAGCTTTTTAGACTTCTAAAACTCATCTTCACATTACTTTCCTCATCACAAACGTTTTAATAATTTTGTCATCATGACAAAGAGGGGCTTTTAGTTCTGTTGGGTATAATAAGGAAATGAAAAGAGCTATTTAATTGTACAAAGACAATTCCTCAGCTTTCACAAGTCTTTTCTTATAGACTTCTAATTCTTATATCAAGGCACTCACGTAGACCGAATACGTTCTAATGCCAAGTAATCATGTGTGCAAACAAAAGTCTTACGTCAAACTCGTGCCAATCCATAAAGACAATCAAAAACTGAGAAGAACATTAACAAATTAAATCAAAATGTGAATGTGTAATATAAACACGTTATCTAGGACAAGAGCATTAAAACGTTCACTTTCCCGTGATGAAATCCATGAGCTAATGCACATGATACAGTGTAAGTCTCTTTTGAGGATCAACTATGAATTTTTTTGTCAAGAAGACCCCAAAAAGGAACCAACACCTAGAGATCTCACCCGCATTAATTTTAATCACTGAACCAAAATATTTTACCTTTTATGTTTAACATTTGTTCTCTTTATTGTTCGAAAAGGAAAACATACACAATTACCACGAACCCTTCTTCAGAACCATTCAAATTGCATAGTTTTAGAAATACAATGAATGTGATTTGTTACTTTTTCAATAACACTATATATATCCTTCGCTGAAGCATAGAAGCTTAAGTCCTGATCAAAGTGCTGATCAATAAATGCTCCCTATTAAACAGAAAACAGAGTATCATAACAAAACTAAAGCGTTGCTGCCTTAAACCTCCAAAATAACTTAAGGGTTACCTCGTGAAGCATCTTTCTAGGGAAGGATTTACATATGAAGACCTAAACATGCCATTGTTTGTGGAGCCACGGAAAATAACTTTCACACTATAAAGCTCACATACAGACCAAAAGGCCATATATCTATAGGATGGTCATAAGAAAGTCCAAGAACTACAACGAAACTAAGAGCAAAAATTCAGTTATATATAAATAGGCTGACAACGAAATATTAAAGTAGATGATAAACAACAGCAGCACCAGCGACATTACTGAATTCGGGAACAGTATATGTTATAACTTTGTTTTTATCAACAAACATTGCGCTACTCAAGTCACAAAGCTTTAACCCGTTGTTGTCGTCTATATTCACCTGGACAATCAAGGAACGACCATATGTTAGAAATTAGTACATCAAGCAGGAGAAAACACACAAACACATACAAGTATCTATCTATGTGGCAGTGACGAGCGAACCCCAGAGTTTTTGAGATGTTTAAGAGATGCGAATTAACTGCTTTGCATACAAACTAACATCACATAGTTTAAGACCATTAATGATGCGACCAAACTTCTTTGAAACCTCTGGGAGATTCATATGAAGAGACTCAAACACCAAGCAAAGGTGATAACTATATTTGAAAGAAAAGGAACACAGTGGCGCTTGTTCTCTTGGGTCAGAGCCAACTAGCTTTCTTCAGAGCCTTATGCGTAGCCAAAATGTGATATGACGTTAAGCCACGAAGAGGTCTTAGGACTATAAATCAGACATCACAAGATAAGAAGTTTGACAAATTAACCAAGGTCTAAAGAGCACCAGTTACATTGTATCATTGTCCCCTATAATAGGAGGCCCATCCTCCGAAACAATCCGAGATTACTGGCATGATTGAAAAAAATTTGCAAATACAGTTTGGTTTAGTGTAATCAGCGAAAGACAAATATCTAGCTTGTACTTTGTAATAGTCGTTTGTTTTGGGCCTTTTGGGCTTATATTCCAGATGGTGCATGGGCTATCTTTTTGCCTTTGTGTGAAAATGAAACCAAACTTGCCATTTCATATTTTCTCAGAAAAAAGGAAGGTGTTGAAATTTTCACATTAACAAAAACTATGCAAACATAAAAGTTAATTAATGATCTAGGAAGAACAAACAAACGAATTTCGCTTATACTAATCTAACAAATTACACCTACTAACAAAAATATTTAACTTTCCTAATCCTAATAAATAACAATAGGAAAAGAAAACGGCAGCGAAGGCCAAAACGCTTATACAAAACGGCATCGTTTTACTCCTAAAAAGTTCGTTTTATTCCGCGGGAAGAGACTCCGCCCGCCACGAAAACAGATCGCCGGAATCAAAACAACCGTCGGAAAAATCAAATAGCCCCTCCACGGCGACGTAATCTCCAACGCCGGAACCGAAATCCAAAGAGCCGTAATCCGAGACGCGATCCTCGAACCCCCATAACTCGTCGATTCCCGACGAATCTGACGACGCTCGTATCAAATCCGTTACCTCCTCCGTCGTCTCCACCTCCTTCACGGCGGGAATCGTAGAAACCTGTGGAGGCGGTGGTAAGCCAAGCTCGTCATCGGAAGCCTCTAGAAGGTAACCGAGATCCGGCTGAGTTTCCGTTGTAACGGTCGAAGATAACTCGTTCTCGAAACTCTTCATCACCGAGTCGAGATCTTGACTCACCGGTTCAGGATCCGAGTCATCGAAAACATCGAATAAATCATCTCTCAGCCTCTTCACCTCCGGCGTGTCAAGAATTGTATCTTCAGACTCGTCCCTGACTCGCTTTTTATCGGTCGAGTCAACTGAGTCAGTCCGAGTTAGCGTGTCCTCCGCCATAGGAATAACAACTTTTTTTTGTTCGGTGAAACGTTTTATTTTCTCAGTGGCAATATTGCAATTAGTGGGAGATAGAGGTGCAGAATGGGAAGGAGGGAACACGAGGGTTTTATAGTAGGAGACAAGAGAGAGAAATGTATAGAGAGACGCGTGAGATGTGACGGATTGTTAGGCGCGTGTGAGAGCGAATCCTTTGGAATCACGGAGCCTTCGCTTTAGTTTATTCTTTTTTTTTTTTGTTATTTCTTTCTCTCTTTTTTTTTTAGCCTTTTCTGGTTTTTTTTTTTTTATCTTTTTATCATTTCTAAAAATATTTGTTTTGAAAACTTCCATATGTCACTTTCTAATTTTCAAGTACTATTATTCGGATTGAATTCGGACTTGAGGTCCGGTCACGTTCCAGTGCACATGCCCAGTCAATTACGCCCTCTCTGGATATTTCTTTTTTTTCCTTTTTTAAACATGCCTTCTTGATTTTTCAAGCTAATTTTCTAAGAAGATATCTAAAACTTGGAAATTGAAATATTAACTTTTCACAATATATTTGCTATATATGCAATCTTCTTAAAGTATACCAACAGATTTCAAAACATAAATGGTTTTTTTTTTTAATTTTCTGGTATGTTCTGTGAACTTCTATTGTTTTACTCTTATTCATTCATTAGATGTGTGTTTGCTTGTTAGGTGAGTGAGCTAGAACCATTATGCAACCACTCTGCATACGCTTCTCTTTAGTGTTTCTATTTCAATCTGGAAATCACAAGAGAAATATTGTAAATGCTAAATATATGCTTTGATCAAATTATTTTACGTAGCTAGTCTAACGGTTATAGATTGGATAGTCCAGTAAATTAATCGATTTTCGTGATAGAAATCGAGATATTTTAGAAATTACAAGAAGAATTCAAAGATATGGGTCTATCTCTTATTTTTTATAGTAGAAATTATCGGATATATACATTAGCAAAAAAAAAAACAAAAACAAATTTTATATATAGATCAAATCCGACTAGATGAAAATACTCTTCACAACATCAGTTCCTATGCCCATTATCTACTCTATTAAAACATAATCATTCTTTTTATCTACTGATACAAGTTGTCATTTAAATTTGGATCATTTCTAGAGTGTTACAAATATGTAACACAAGCTATATAATTAATTAAACCAGATTACTTAAATTAAACCAATGGTTATTTATGGGATATAGTCTTGGTCTTACTTTTGTTTTTAGAACAAATTATATAGTTTGGTTTTTGGGCTTAGTGTTAAGGAAAAACTCCAAAACATTGAATAAACTTTACACCTTAATAGATAAAAAAAAAAACAATTATTATTTTTAGGCCCAAAAGGTATTTAATATTTTTAACAAAACAAAATTATCTATTATTAATCATTTATTTAAATCATGTACTTTAAAACATGTTAATGTATTTTTTATTTTGAATAACAATCACTTTATTTTGATAAATTTCAATGATAACTTTTAAATAATTTTTTTTTTTAATTTTTCTTAAATAATTTACTGATTTAAAAAATGTAAAGCAAAACCAAAAACCAAAAACCAAATCTAAAAACCAAAAGTTGAAAACACAAGTTATATTCTTTTTGCTTTTGTTTATTTACAAAATAAACTATTGCAATTTTTTTTGTCATCTTTTCAGTTTTAAATTAGATGTTCGATTATTTAGGATTTGTTTGTTGGTAATATCAGTTCAAACTAACTCAACGGGTCTAAAAATTAAAAACACAAACCAAAAGCTGAAAATCAAAAGTAGAAACTTAAAAACTAAAAACCAAAATCTAAAACAAAATCTAAAAATAAAAACTGAAACTAAAAACTAATGAAAAACAATCATCACCACAAATTTTGGTGAACTGATTTTATACCAAAACATTCTTTAAATTAATACAAAACCCAATTATATAAATTTTTAATCATAAAAAATTTCCGGATCAAAATCTAGTTTGATTTAATCCAGATGGATAACTGACTAACTGACATAAAAAAAAAGAGATTGGACGGTCCTTTGGCACCATTGATTCAACTTCATCTACCATGGTACACAATTCAAAGTTTAAACCGACAGAACAAAGAAGAAGAATAGATAAGGTTAGATATAGTGTGATACAAACTTCTTGTCTATTGTTATTTGTTAAACCACTGGTGTAAGTCAAGTTATTTGAAAGATTTCGTTTGGTAATCTATGTCTGAAATCATCTTTTGATTATCTACACGTAAACATTATAGATTTTTGGCACAGATGCATTACTTTTTCCCGTATGTTCATATATTAGGTTTGGTACGACGCATACAACATTTCCACGACGAGTTTGCTTGTTTTATATTTCCATTTCCTTGAATTCACAGTTAAAAGAAAACACAACAATAAATATGACCACTTCGGATTAGAAATTGACTTTAATATATGGTATGTTAAAAACTAAACTGATTCAACAATATTATAAATTTTTTCACTTGTGGCTTTTTTGAGGAATAATTTTCGCTGCTCCGCAACAAAAATAATTATGCTGCGTAATCCAGTTAAGATAATTTTAATCTACTGGTTTTGAGATTTTATTTTCGAACATTTTTTTATCGTTCTGTAGTATTACTTTAAGGTCATACACTTAAAAAGTAAGTTGAGAAATTTCGAGTTTTGGAATAGGGTGCGGGTTTACACAAAAGGCTATTGTTTTTTGGGGGCAATGGGCATCTTCGCATTTGCCAATATACGTGGATTTAGCAAGTTGTGATTCTTGGGTAACACATAGAGTTGTCCATTGATTACTTTCTTCTTCTTTTATAATCGAACCATTACTTTAAGAAAAAGAACCAAAGATGCACGTTGCTCCTTTTTTTGTTTTAAGGCATTTCGAGCGGTCCAAATCAAACATATTGGTACGATTTATGGTGGTGAGTGACCTAAGAGTTATTTGCTAGATGTACAAGCTATAACTTATTGAATATCTATCGCATTAAAGTTTTTTCTCCTTTATATGGACTACTCGGAATTCATACGTCAAATTTCGTATTAACTCTCGAGTTTTTGCAGTTTGGAATTTACGTTGCGGTCATGTATATGTATACATTTGAACGTTTTTTCCATATATCCGGAAGGGTCCAGAACTCAATTTTTTTAACTCGAGAAATAAAACAAAGCTTAGATGACAACAAAGGTAGGTCCAGAGACAAAATGTTACCTCTTCGGATTGTATTTGGATGGTTTTCATTCTTTTTAAAAAAAATTATCTATATCACCTAAGTATGCGTATACGTAGGCACACATGTGATTTAAATTGTTTTGTCTCGTCGTGCAAATCATACACGTATATTAGAAATGGATCAATAAAAACTCAAAGTCTTTTGTCAAAAATAATAGCTCCGGGGAAATCTAAATAGGAGAGCACTCATCTTGGGATAAAATCTTTATCAAAAAATAAAATAAATAACATCCCAAGGTTCAGGTACAAACAATAACTTGATACATCAATAAACTCTACACGTATTTATAAGTTGTAAAGCAATACTAAAATACTCTTTCTATTTTACTTTATTTATCATTCTAGTTTTTCTCATACAGATTAAGAAAATATTTAATTTACACATTTTCAAGATAAAAAGACAATTACCTATACATTTAACCAACTTTTAACCAATAGAAAAATAAAATATTATATAAAACTAATAAATTTTAACTCAAAACTCTAAAACGACATTTAATCTATTATATAAAAGAGAGCATCTCTCCTCCTGAGAGTGTCCACGTCGAATGCCAGCCTGGAAAGGCCACGTCAGCAAGTCGTGATATCTCGTGTCGACACGTGGCACACTGTGAAGTTTTTCATTAAACGCTTGCGTATCTTCTCCTCCCTTCCTACGACAGCGCCTGATACATCAACGCTTTATAGAGACGAAGCTACAAGGAGGCTTCAGTTCGGTTCTTGAGCGAGTCTAGAGATGTCGAGTCTAGAGATGTCGATGGCAACGGCGGATGCGTCGCGGTTTCTAATGTTTGGTGCTGTCCAGGACTAGGGATTCTCAGACGGATGAAGTTTCGATGGATCCTCTGAGAATGGATCTTCCGCTGTTGCGTCGCAAAATTGACATAGACACGAACAGTTCAAACCAAACAGAGGAAAATATGATAGCTTTATGTTATGTATATCTAATTGCAAGTCAAAGTTTGGGACTTTGAGTCTCTTTTGGTGGTGTGTTTAGTTTTATTACATTTATTTGTCTCAGTGAATAGTTTCGGTTTAGGTAGAAACTGTTTGGATTTATGATAAAAAAAATTAAGTGTATAGTGACAAATATTTTGAAACGGAAAGAGTATATGTTATTCTTCTTTTTACATCATTCAAAGAATATCTACTCTTAATAAAAGCTTTGTGAACTACATAATCTCTTATAGATAAAATCTAATCGATTACTCTATCCATTTCATATTAATTATCCATTATAGTTAAAATTTTTGTTTTATTTTAAGTGTTGTTTTATGTTATCAATGCATTTATTTGTCAGCTTTCTAAATTTATTCATGTTCTACTAGTTCATTAATTAAGCTAATTAAATAAATTAATGTATTAATTAGAGATAAAACAATAAATTTAATAATGTTTTAATATGTGTGAAAAAACTAAAAAAACAAATAAATTAAATTAAATTAAATTAAAGGAGTCATTATTTTGGACAACAATTAAAATTATACTCTATAATACAGCATAGATCCCCAGAAATCTCACTGTATTTATAAATTGATTTGAAATATAAATAAAAACTTGTATCGTGAAAATAAATAAATCAATAAAAGTCTTTGTCAAAAAACAGATAAAATAAAAATAAATAAATTAAAGTGAAGGGAGAGCATAATTGTGTTTTGTGAGTGGTAATGCACATGTTGGATATGAAATATCAAACTGGGGACAGTTTCACAATCCATAGTATGTTTTAATATCAACACCCTAGCATATACTTGTGGTATTCATTTTTATATGA